ATGCACACAGACCAATGTATTTCCGATGTTTATTACGTTTAATTTTGATATTTATAGGTGACAACCAATGAAAACATCAAATCTGGTATCTCAGAAAATTAGAATATTCTAAAGGCCAATGAAAAAATGTTTGTTTCTCTAATGTTGGCCAACTGAAAAGAATGAACATGAAAAGAATGTGCATGTATAGCACTCAATACTTAGTCGGGGCTCCTTTTGCCTCAATAACTGCAGTAATGCGGCGTGGCATGGACTCGATCAGTCTGTGGCACTGCTCAGGTGTTATGAGAGCCCAGGTTGCTCTGATAGTCGTCTTCAGCTCCTCTGCATTGTTGGGTCTAGCGTATTGCATCCTCCGCTTCACAATACCCCATAGATTTTCTATGGGGTTAAGGTCAGGCGAGTTTGCTGGCCAATCAAGGACAGGGATACCATGGTCCTTGAACCAGGTGCTGGTGGTTTTGGCACTGTGTGCAGGTGCCAAGTCCTGTTGAAAGGTGAAGTCTGCATCCCCATAAAGTTGGTCAGCAGCAGGAAGCATGAAGTGCTCTAAAACTTCCTGGTAGACGGCTGCATTGACCCTGGACCTCAGGAAACAGAGTGGGCCAACACCGGCAGATGACATGGCACCCCACACCATCACTGACGGTGGAAACTTTACACTGGACCTCATGCAACGTGGATTCTGTGCTTCTCCGCTCTTCCTCCAGACTCTGGGTCCTTGATTTCCAAAGGAAATGCAGAACTTGCTTTCATCAGAAAACATAACTTTGGACCACTCAGCATCAGTCCAGTCCTTTTTGTCCTTGGCCCAGGCAAGACGCTTCTTGCGCTGTTTCATGTTCAAGAGTGGCTTGACACACGGAATGCGACACCTGAATCCCATGTCTTTCATGAGTCTCCTCGTGGTGGTTCTTGAAGCGCTGACTCCAGCTGCAGTCCACTCTTTGTGGATCTCCCCCACATTTTTGAATGGGTTTGTCGTCACAATTCTCTGCAGGGTGCGGTTATCCCTAGAGCTTGTACACTTTTTTCTACCACATTTTTTCCGTCCCTTCGCCTGTCTGTTAATGTGCTTGGACACAGAGCTCTGCGAACAGCCAGCTTCTTTAGCAATCACCTTTTGTGTCTTGCCCTCCTTGTGCAAGGTGTCAATGATTGTCTTTTGGACAGCTGTTAAGTCAGAAGTCTTCCCCATGATTGTGGTGCCTTCAAAACAAGACTGAGGGACCTTTTAAAGGCCTTTGCAGGTGTTTTGAGTAAATCAGCTGATTAGAGTGGCAGCAGGTGTCTTCTATATTCAGCCTTTTCAGAATATTCTAATTTTTTGAGATACCAAATTTGGAGTTTTCATTAGTTGTCACTTATGAATATCAAATTTAAATGTAATGAACATTGGAAATACATTGGTCTGTGTGCATTGCATGAATATAATGTACAAGTTTCACGTTTTGAATGGAATTACTGAAATATTTTCAACCTTTTGATGATATTCTAATTTACTGGCCAGCACCTGTATGAAAGTCTAATGTTTATCAGTACATTACAAAAAATAATGAGCAATCACAATATGCTAATTTTTTGAGAAGGACCTGTATATTCATATTGAAACTTATACGTATAAAATATAATGTTACGTGACCACCGCGGAAGCAGTCAGCTGTCAGTTTGACAGCATCTTTGACTGCCAGTGTCTAAACGAGTTTGGGGGTTGCTGCCAAGACGGGCACTGACCACAGGGCAGCTACAGCTCAGGTCAGCCGCCTTCATAATAGAGGCACAAAACATGGCCCGGGCAGACTGCCTCCCCCGAGATGTATTCAAAATTCTGGCAGACTCTTGGCAAACCCTCACAATATGTGGACCTACCAGGCCTGATCAGCATTGTCTGCCAACATTAAGGCCAACTCACCACCAGGTAGTGGTCCGTTGACAGCTCCAGACCAAGCAACAACAAAGACGATCATTGGGCTGCAATCTAATGTATCCTGGTGCCAAGAACACATAAGGACACTCTTATATCTGAACACTGTGTTTGTTATGAACAATCCATGACAAGCAGAGTCCAATAACAAAACACCACTTGAGTTACGATTGGGGGTGCATTGCTCCCAACCACATCTCTCCAAGTCTCGCTGCCACTGCCCACGTGAACAAGGTAGTCACCAGAAAGAGCACACTCCAGCACTCCAAGGATTCAAAAAGAGTGGGTAATCTGACCGGCTGTTTGGTGCATAAGTGTAACAACATTCAGAACCCATCCCCTCACAAGTAGGTGGAAGGGGCTACTCTCTCATTAAGAAGGGTAGATTTCAATGTACAGGTACCAAGATGGGGGGCAGCAAGTATGCCCACTCCTGCTCTGTAACCCTGAGAGGAAGTGTCCAGCCTGTCTGGAGGAAACTGGTTCCAAAGCCAGAAATGTGTTGAGGTGAGTACGACCATATCTAGCCAGAACCTTTTAATGTCACACACAAGCTCTGGCTCTTTTCCCACCAGTGAGGTGACATTCCAAGTACTGAGCACTAGTTTTTGTCACTGGATGAAAATACATGTAACTAAAAGAATTAATTTACAACACTAAACTAACTGCTAAAAACATTAGCACTCTGAAAAATATTCGTGGTGAGGACACTTGGAAACAGTGTAAAACAGTTTTCCTGCCGTTTTTATGGCTGTGTTTGTAAGTCACTGTTTAAAAAAATGCCATAAAACATTTAGTAACCTGAAAGCAATCGCTGTAAACCAGGACTATTCAATTTCGGGACTGGAGGGCCGGTATCCAGCACGTTTTAGTTTTAACTTTGCTTCAACATACCTGATTTCAATCAGCAGGTGATTAACAGGCTTCTGCTGAGCCTGATGAGCTGCGGCACAGGTGACTCAACCACTGAATCTAGCGTATCGGAGAAGAGAAACCACTAAAACGTGCTAGATACCGGCCCTTGAGGCCTAAACTTGAATAGCCCTGCTGTCAACTCTAGCATTGACCATTTCAGCTCCTCCTGTTTCAAACCGTAGAATACTGATCTACTTCTGCCGTCTTCTTTCAGTATGTTTATTTTTGAATGACATCCTATGTTGGGCACTACATTTGGGAGTTGAAAAAACAAAAACAAAACCATTGTCTTTGTCCCAAATAATTTGTGGTTTGTAATAACCTCAGATTGGTAAGAATCTTGTCATTTTAACGTCCAGTCAACAGAGTAAATAGGGTTCTGTGCAGTGGCGGCTACTTCCATACCCCCATTTGCATTTGGTGACATGGATGCAACGTCAAATGAAAACCAGCAATATGTACACATGGATGGATGTATACAGGTGCTGGCCAGTAAATTAGAATATCATCAAAAGGTTGAAAATATTTCAGTAATTCCATTCAAAACGTGAAACTCGTACATTATATTCATGCAATGCACACAGACCAATGTATTTCCAATGTTCATTACATTTAAATTTGATATTCATAAGTGACAACTAATGAAAACTCCAAATTTGGTATCTCAAAAAATTAGAATATTCTGAAAAGGCTGAATATAGAAGACACCTGCTGCCACTCTAATCAGCTGATTTACTCAAAACACCTGCAAAGGCCTTTAAAAGGTCCCTCAGTCTTGTTTTGAAGGCACCACAATCATGGGGAAGACTTCTGACTTAACAGCTGTCCAAAAGACAATCATTGACACCTTGCACAAGGAGGGCAAGACACAAAAGGTGATTGCTAAAGAAGCTGGCTGTTCGCAGAGCTCTGTGTCCAAGCACATTAACAGACAGGCGAAGGGACGGAAAAAATGTGGTAGAAAAAAGTGTACAAGCTCTAGGGATAACCGCACCCTGCAGAGAATTGTGACGACAAACCCATTCAAAAATGTGGGGGAGATCCACAAAGAGTGGACTGCAGCTGGAGTCAGCGCTTCAAGAACCACCACGAGGAGACTCATGAAAGACATGGGATTCAGGTGTCGCATTCCGTGTGTCAAGCCACTCTTGAACAAGAAACAGCGCAAGAAGCGTCTCGCCTGGGCCAAGGACAAAAAGGACTGGACTGATGCTGAGTGGTCCAAAGTTATGTTTTCTGATGAAAGCAAGTTCTGCATTTCCTTTGGAAATCAAGGACCCAGAGTCTGGAGGAAGAGCGGAGAAGCACAGAATCCACGTTGCATGAGGTCCAGTGTAAAGTTTCCACCGTCAGTGATGGTGTGGGGTGCCATGTCATCTGCCGGTGTTGGCCCACTCTGTTTCCTGAGGTCCAGGGTCAATGCAGCCGTCTACCAGGAAGTTTTAGAGCACTTCATGCTTCCTGCTGCTGACCAACTTTATGGGGATGCAGACTTCACCTTTCAACAGGACTTGGCACCTGCACACAGTGCCAAAACCACCAGCACCTGGTTCAAGGACCATGGTATCCCTGTCCTTGATTGGCCAGCAAACTCGCCTGACCTTAACCCCATAGAAAATCTATGGGGTATTGTGAAGCGGAGGATGCAATACGCTAGACCCAACAATGCAGAGGAGCTGAAGACGACTATCAGAGCAACCTGGGCTCTCATAACACCTGAGCAGTGCCACAGACTGATCGAGTCCATGCCACGCCGCATTACTGCAGTTATTGAGGCAAAAGGAGCCCCGACTAAGTATTGAGTGCTGTACATGCACATTCTTTTCATGTTCATTCTTTTCAGTTGGCCAACATTAGAGAAACAAACATTTTTTCATTGGCCTTTAGAATATTCTAATTTTCTGAGATACCAGATTTGATGTTTTCATTGGTTGTCACCTATAAATATCAAATTTAAATGTAATGAACATTGGAAATACATTGGTCTGTGTGCATTGCATGAATATAATGTACAAGTTTCACGTTTTGAATGGAATTACTGAAATATTTTCAACCTTTTGATGATATTCTAATTTACTGGCCAGCACCTGTAGATGGCTGGATAATTTTTGAATCATGAAAGGCTTTCAGAGTGCATTTGTGTAATGATGATGGTCTGTACCTGAGTTCGAAGGATCTCTCCTTTGCTCAGCTGCATGTCTCCAGTTAGCTCTTTAACAGCAATGCCCAGAGGTTCCAGACGTTTACTGAAGTAATTAGTCATTTCAGCAGCCAAGGCCTTCATTGGAGCCACATATACTATCTACAGAAAGACAGAATCAGAGGAATGTGAAATCAGTAAAAAGAGAGAGGGGGGGGGGGGGGGGGGGGTTAGGTTGAGCAAAGCAAAAATGGAGTTAAGTGTTGATGAAAGTACAGGTCTGTGTGGGGGTAGGGGTGTAGAAGGACACTGTGGTGATAAATGATGAAACAGAGGCAGCATCATTTGTTCCCAGGCAACCAGCACAATCACTTCCAAGGGTTCAGTGTAATGGTGACGTATAAAAGTGAACACCATCACCAGCTGGCAGGAGCAGGAATAAGTCTGAACGTTCGACTGGATACTTTAGAAAAGAGAACAAAGTCTTTTGGAAGTCTGAAATATTTCCCTGAATATAAACACTGAGTTTATGCTGATGATGACGTTTTAAATACATATTTAGGAATTCAGCTTTTCTTTTCAGCTGTTGAACCGTTTATACGAGTCAGAATCGGAATTGTACAGCAGATACAATAAAACAAATTACCACTGACATATTCAATGATATGTATATCTTTTTATATCTACCTTTTTCTCATATTTTGTGTTTTTTTTTTTATCTAAATGTCAAATGCATCATTTATGTGCCTAGTTTCATTTGATTCACACACAGAGTGATATTAAAGGCTTTGTTTTCTGGATCTGAGGTAAAATTAGACTAATTTAAACTGCAGTTCATTGGTATGAAATAACCAATTTGAAAGATTGTGCCCTCCCCTGGTTTACAATCATGTTTACGCTGAGTTAAAAATCACGTAAGGTCTAGAATATGATTAGCATGTCAAGCTAATTGCTAGTTTGGTTTGTTTTTTTGACCCTGAACAGACCCATTTTCTTTGTCAACACGTTATAGCTTGTGAAACCATATCATTTCCAACAGTTCATTTTAATGCTTATGCTGGACTGGGAATTGAAATCTATTACCACATTAGCTCCAACAAGCATTTTTATACCAGCTGCTACTAGGGCCTTTTCTCATTCCTGAGCGTATTCACAATAAATCTGAGGGCAATGTAGGCTTGGTTGTATTTTCTTGTCCTTTACTTTTGTCTTTAATCACTAGCCCTGGCACCTTCCGTCAGCTCAGTGCACCCATAGATATGTATATATATAAACACTAGATGGCGAAGCGGGAGTTGACGGCGTAGCTAAACGGCGGCCATCTTACCTCAGAAAACAGACCCCTCCGCTCTCAATTGTTGCAGCTGGAAGGTAGGTGAGTGATCAGCTTAAACAAAAACACCCTTAACTCGATGAAATATTAACGGATTTACAAGTGGTTTGCCTTGTTACAAACCTTAGAACACAAAGGCTTGAGACAACATACATGCACATGTTGAAAGTAACGCTTTTGCTTTTGAAAGTGGCTTAATTGTGAACCATGTGTCCCGTCTAGGCTATCTGCATGTTATTCAGGTTGAGACCACAACCGATATTTTATGTGGTTCTACAAAACCAATAACGACTTTACGACAGCTCAGTAGTTGTGTAAATGGCTGTGTTTGTGAATGTTTTGGTATTTATTAGCATCTAACTTGGCTTAGAGATGACGAGGCTACGGTGGGTGCACTGTTTAGCAAAACAAAGTTGACTATTTACCTCAGTGGGAGTCGCTCGTTTTATTTTAAGTAAATTAATGCTAAATTGCCCGTGATTTTTAAGCATCTTGGTTTGTTACACAAAACTTATATTGGGATATATTAAAACTGGACATTTCTGGGTTTATGTTTGCAGAGGTACACTTTTATCAATTGTGAAACTTGAGGGTCAACATGGCTGACTTTCGTGCAGCCTACAGATGCTTGAATCGCCGCTGTGACAAATCGAGACAATGTGGGACCTTTCATCTGTAACTGTTGCAAAGAAAAGCTAGACTTGTACATTTTTCAGTCTGTTAATTGTTTTTATGTAAATAAAATAATTTGAAACTGTTGTTCCATTGCTGCTGCTGCTGCTACCTCATATACATTGTTTATCTGGTTTTATGAATGTTAAAAATCTCCTTCACAAGATCAATCCATTGTCCATCCATCTTACTTATTACTGTAATCCTTATTAACCTAATCTATCTTTTGATTATTTCCTAACTTCTTCAGAAAGCATTTCCAAAGAGCTTATAATTAATAAATGAAAGTCAATAAATAAGAAAAAAAAAAGTTAAGAAATTTCGAAAATACAATAATAATTTGCCGGGTGAAATTTAATTGCTGGCGGGCCGGCTGACAGATGTGATTTAGGTGTTGGTTGTCGGGGGTGGGGGGGGGGGGTGGGGGGGTTCTGTGGTTGGGACAGTTACTACTTTAACTTATGGACCTGTAAATAAATTGTTTATAAATAAGGTAGAAATAAGTTCCTCACACTGAAAAATAACTAATCTCTATGAGACTGAGGACACGGTGCTATTGCACTCTCCTACAGCACCTTGACATGACTAAATACATATTATGCAAAATTTTGTGAACATCAATTTATTTGCATTTGTTTGTTATAAATACCACTGTATAATTCTTGCTGTCAGTATTTGCAAGACATTGGTATTTGGGTCTGTACTGGTTAGACTTAAATGAGTTAAACCAAGGTCTATAGCCCTTGGGTCAAAAACTATGAGCAAGTATACTGGTCTTTTTATACTAGGATTCAGGTGTTATTTTAGAGATAATTTTGTTTCTTATTTATTTTTGTCCTGATTGTGCCCTGAGCAATTTTATGACTGAATAAAAACAAATAAAATCAACATTAATTGAAAAATCGTCTTAAATAATCAAGATCTCAATTTCAGTCACAATAATCATGATTATTATTTTTGCCATAATCGAGCAGCCCTACCAGTCAGTATCTGGTGTGGCCACCATTTGAGTTCAGCTAATGAAACATGGGAGCAAAAAAAAAAAGTGTTGCGTCACACATGCACAAACTTGAAGGGACAGCAGTTCAAGAATAGTGGTGCAGTTACTACAACTTAATTAAATCAAGTATCAAACTGCTTTCATGTATGGAAGCTTGTACAAACCTTGAATTCATCTTTCTTGATGATGCCACCAGGCTGCAGGTGCTGACGAATCTCATGAAGGATAGTCAGCATGGCAATGTTGGTCTTGCCAGCACCAGTTGGAGCACAGATCAGAAGGTTTTCATTGGTGCTGTAGGCTGTGTCAAACACTATAGACTGGATCCTGTTCAGACGCTTCATTCCTTTGAAAACCAGCTGCCCAATCTGAGTATGGAAATTCACAAGCATAAATGAAAAGACGTTAACACATTTTTAGCGCCTCGTGATTTTTATCTTGAGAGGCGATATAGAAAAGATCTTTTCTTCTATGGTTCCAATTATTGACAATTTTTTTTGGGTGTTTCGGTTTTCAGCCTTCTTTTCCTCATTTTTGGTTTTGGCCAATAACTTTCATTATATTGCATCCCTAAAATATATAGTGGAGACAAAAAAAACTTTGTTTTTTTTAGTATTGGGAAGTGTGTGTTTCATTTATTTAAAAAATCCTAATAATTATATGATAATCTCTAATAATTTTCTGATAAATTTTGATCAATTCTATTTTTTTCTAAGCAGAGTGACTGAATAAACCTCATGATCCAAATTGGTTTGCATTTTGCAGAAAATGAAATTGAAGGTTCTTTTTTTAATTCAAATTACTTTAATTTGAATATTTGATTATTGTTGCAATAAAATATGTAAATGTCAGAGATCACTACAAAACCCACAGTAAACAGATAGAACCATAAGTGGTTCAGCATGAGGGTTTAACAGAAAGCAGTTAGCTACCAGAAGTACTGGTTGAGCTTGATTAGTGGTTAACAACCAAAACCATAAATGATTTAGCCTGATTAGAGATTACCTACTAGAACCAATGATGGTTAATTATGCTTAGTGGTTAAATACTAAAATCAACAAGGGTCAAGTCTGCTTGGCTGCAAACTAGAAGAACCAATGGTGGCTTAGTCTGGTTAGTAGTTAACTAGTAGAACCAGCGTTGATTAGGTACGGTCTAAAAAATAGCCACTTGAAAAGTGCCTGTTTCAGACATCACTAACAGGGAAATATACAGAGCAGCTGATCTACTCTGAGCCCCTCCTGAATATGAGAGCTTCTCAGCTTATAGCAGCCTAGGCAGGGAATGGGTGGGCAGGGCCACTTCCTACTGCGGCTTTTTTTCTTAAAGAGCAAGTCACACCCCCACCAGAGTTTTTAAATTGTATATTTACCAAAAGAAAGTCATTAAAGAATTCGAATGAAAGTCGATGTTGAAAACACACAGCTGAGTATTTGACTGTTGGTTTCCATTGGTAACAAAATGTGGACCAGCACTAAGCACTTACAGCACTTACCCAAACAGTAATTGTACATTCTGACAAAAACTGATTCAGGCATTTTCAAACAGCATGCAGGCACAAAATGCAGTGAGACAATATATAACAGTGTCAGAGTTTGAGATTTGTTCTGTATTAGCAGTAAGAGGAGTGTCAAAAAGAAGGAAGGATGAGAAGGAAGGAGAATACGTGTGTGTGTGTGTGTGTGTGTGTGTGTGTGTGTGTGTGTGTCTGCTAGGATCAGCTGTCACTCAAGCTGCCCTCCGTCTGCCTTTACTATGGCAACAGAGTGTTAGTGATGGCCCTCAATCTCACACTGCCTCTGATAAGCACAGAAACGAGCACAGTGAAGGACAGATGGTACCGTACACACTAGTGCACTGAAAGGAAAACCAGAAAATAAAAACATGACAGTAGCTTTTCCACTTTCCTTCTAACACACAATGTGTACATTTCAGATGTATTTTTGTGGAAAACATAATTCGATCAGAAAGTAATCTTATATAAAATTGTGTTATTTTATAATGACTTCAGAAAACATTTAATCTTTTTACCTGACATAAAGAAAATACCCACAACTGTAGGGCCAAAATAAGATTTACCAATATTTAAGTTCCAAAGAAATAAATCAATCAATAAATAAATAAATAATCTACACTATTTTAAAGTGAAATCTACATAGGTTTGTTTATTTTTATGCCTAGGAGGTAGAGCTTTTGCCATTTTGGGCAGCATTGTAGAAACCTTTGCCAATGAGGTAAATAAAAAAAATTAAAACTATCATTCTATAGAGTTTTAAAGTCCACCTGATAACCCATTTTTTACATCTTAGCATTTCCACTTTGTACACAGTGACGGTTGTTATAAGGGATATTCTAATATCATCTTGTGGTCGGAAATTGGGCCCAATCCGATGTTTTTCCAGAGGTAGAAATCAGATGGAAATGGTTGGATTTAGAAGAAAGAAGTAAAAGATGTGAAATATGAGTGACAAGGCTACTGTTAAATATATTCTTAAAGCTGGGGTACGTAGTTAAAAATATAAAAGTAAAAAGCCCAAATTTGATTATTTGACCTTTTTCTATGTTAGCAAAAGCTAACCTTTCATTATTTATATTTACCCTGAGTCCGTACCTTGGCTTCTACAGCAAAATTAATGATTTACACGTATGACTAATTGAGTTGCATACCTGCAAAAGGGAGCTGTCACTTAACGAGCGAGACCAGTCCCCAGCATGCACTGTGGGCTGTAGCACAGTCAGCATAGCACACCAACCTAGCTTGATTGCTAACTTGATTGCACTGAATTAATGTCAGTTTGTAAACTTCAAACTATCTGTGAAAAACAAGGGAGGAGAAGGAAAAGGGATTTATCTTTTTTGTGTATTAGAGCTAATTGATAAGTGTAGCCATCAGCCTTATGCTACATTAGACTATTGTTTTAGCCTGTTGTAGCATTAGCAGGGGGTGCTAGCATCACAAGTGTGTGTTTTACGTTTCCCTGCTTAAACACTGCAAAGTTGATTGGAAAAGGTGATTAGCAGCTCCTGCTGAACCCCAAGAAGGCTGAGAAGATCCTTCAGCATAGCCTGTTAGTGGTTCCTTGGTCAAAACGCAAGTCTAGTTGTGATCGGGCTTTGTTGGGTTAAAGGTCCTCGGCTCTGGAAACCAACTTCCATGTTTTTAGTGTTTTTTCTGATTACTCTTTGGTACCATTTGCTTAGAATTCTTTAATGCTTTGCTAGTGTGCTTTGCTTTATTTTACCATAATGTTAGTTTTACATTTTTTATGTGTCTCTGCACTACATACAGCACCTTGGACCTCCTTCACTGAGGGTGAAAAGGGGATTTAAAAACGTGTCAACTGAAATTCACAGGTGTGTCTGAGCAAAAACATATTCTAATCAAACATTCTAATGTCCAAGGACCATGATGTTCTATTCTAATTTCCCTACTTGAAACAATTTGGTTTATGTGTGGAATTCCTAAAAACCAAACCAGACAAAAATGGATGAACATATTTTCCCACATTTGTAGTGTTTATAGATGCAGTAGAGACCCACATGGCAGCATAATGCATTACAAAATGTGAGTTTTGCTAGGTGCTGTTTTGTTGATGCAGTTATCTGAAAGTGATTTTATTTCAGTTTTAAAGTAGTTCTAGACAAGATATATTATTTTATTCATATTGACAGGTACTACCTGTATTGTTGTGAATAAATGTCGATAATTTACTGATGCTATGTGTAGCACTTTGGTAATCCTTGGCAGCGAGGTGAAAGGGTTATACAAATAAAGATGATGATGATAATGTTTGACCCAACAAAACAAGGGAACTCCTTATAACATGTTTCAGAAGTGTGAGATGGTTGCCTGACTATACACTCTTTTTTTGTGGCACTAAAGGACAAAAAGTTACAACCCCAAAACAAAACCCATGTGTGACTTGTCAAACTTTTGATAAGCAACCTAAACTTTTGATCTATTTTATTTTGTACAACTAACGTGGATGAGTGACTGTAAACAGTCACAGGCAAAGGTTTAATGAAAAAAGAAAAAATTAAGAGTTTCATCCTTCCTGTTTCCTCTCCAACTTCTTCTAATCCATCTAAAAAAATCTCAAAATCAAGGAGCAAACCATAATTTTTTAGGCCTGAAGACAGGTCTATTTTCATGAACACAGATCACGTGAAAGTTAAGCATGATTAAATCTGACTGATCAATAACAATTAAAAAAAGGTTTCTTTGTCACCAGTTTTATTCATCCATCCATCCATCCATTCATCCATTTTCATCCGCTTATCTGGAGTCGGGTCGCGGGGGCAGTAGCCCAAGGCGAGAGGCCCAGACTTCCCTCTCCCCAGCCACTTGGGCCAGCTCCTCCGGGGGAATCCCAAGGTGTTCCCTGGCCAGGTGAGAGACATAGTACCTCCAGCGTGTCCTGGGTCTACCTTTAGGTCTCCTCCTGGTTGGACGTGCCCAGAAAACCTCACCAGGGATCCTGACCAGATGCCCGAGCCACCTCAAATGGCTCCTCTCGATGTGGAGGAGCAGCGGGTCTACTCCGAGCCCCTCCTGAATGACCGAGCTTCTCACCCTATCTCTAAAGGAGAGCCCAGCCACTCTTCGGAGAAAACTCATTTTGGCCGCTTGTATCTATGGAGTTTTATTCTTTCCTTAAACCATAATTTATCAGTGTATTTGTTCTGTGTTGGGTTTCTCTCACAATAATGCTGCTTCAGGATGCCTTGAGCGAAGACAACATTATTATTTATTCAAGGATTCATTAGAAGTATGTCATCACTTTCCTCTTTCCCTCGTTTCACTCCAAGACTCATAGAAAGAAATAATTAAAAAGTGCCTGTCAGGCAGGAATATGCTGGGTGGGTCTGCAAGTTGGCCCTGCAGCCCTGCAGGAAGGAAGAGGATTTAATTGCATCAAAAGCAACTTTATTGGAGCCCACTTGAGCTGGGAGGTGGGAGGTGTGGCTCTGGTGAAAAATCAGTGATCTGATAGTTTCATATGTTCCTAACGGAGCACTTCACTCTCAGACTGCAGGTTTACTCGTGGTTCCTAGAATTAGGGCTGTTGCGGTAACCGCAAAAATAAAATATCGCGATATGAAGAAGCCCACCGCGCTGCATCATGGGCCACCGCGATTACTGAACTTGGTTCAACTCAATGATGCATGTTGAGAAGGATGGCTGCACTGGTATCAAAACGAAACGTTACTTCGCTCCTTTGGGAGCACTTTGGTTTTCAGTACGTCAGCTGCTGCGCAGCCAGAGTCCTTGGCCGAGACAGAGCTGCCACCAGCGGCAAATAAATAAATAAATAAATGCTCGGAGACCTGCTGAAGTCCCAGACAAGCACTGCTTCTGCAGCCGTCC